GAAATGTTAGGTAACTCTAACAGACTACTCTCCAAAGACTTTTAGAACGATGACAACACCTGGTTTCAGACAATTCGCTCTCAAAAATGTCAAATTTCAATCGCAGTGTGATGTAGATTTCACTATTACTATAACGAAATATTAGTGACTATCCATTACATTGCCTTTTATCACATTTTGGTGACTGAAGTAATAAAGAACTGAAACCTGACCCAAGCACTTTATACTTGAAACATAATAACAGAGGGGAATGGTTTGGAAACCTATTGTTGAACTTCTTTTGTACATCTTTTGTATGTATCTTGAGGTTGAATCAGTCAAGACYGTGTACAACCTTTTTCTTATGTGCAATGGATTGCAAAATTAGTGAAAATAAACACTCTATATGAGATTATGAAATGAAATATTTCAAAATATTGCTTAAAAAATGTTGTGTATTGTTGACAACATCCATTAGGTAATACCTCTAATCATCCTGGATGGCATTTCTTACCATTATACAGCTTTTAATATTCAAAAAATGCAGCATTTCTTTATTGTAGTGTATTTTCARCRTCTTTGAATTTGTTCAAAACAGCTGATAAAACCCTTGTACCCCAAAAGTACTTATTTTCCAAAATTGAAACGCTAAARAAACAATAAAAACCAACCAATCAAATTAATTATTACTATTGTTGATATTCTTACCTCAGTTAACTTGTTTCTCGCTGTATTCTGGTCAAAAAAGTCAATTTTCTTGCAGTAAAGTCACAAACATCATGGTTTTCAGCCGCCATCTTTGTTTTTACGTCACAATCAAATTTGCCGCGCGCATATTCTAGTTTCCAGTCCTCCTCGAAATTTAATATGGAAAAAACACGAAATTTGTTGAAAAATAGATTTTTTTCCGTTAAAACATAAGTAGTTAATAATATATRATTAATGCTAGAGAACAATTAAGAAAGTAAAGCTCTCTTTAAAAAGAAAGGCCGTCTCGACTCAACGATTTTCAAATCCATCCACTTTCAATGCACTAGGGAGTTCAAGGATCAACCATTCTTAGTTTCCATAGTTACATAGCTTTATAAAGGCTTTATTACATATCATGTCAACTAGCATGAGGTGTATATGTTGAAAACAACTAAAGATGTGATCTGTAAAAACAAACAAATTGGAATTGATTGAAACTGAGCAAGCTCCTRGACAACAAGATCGAAATTCATTAGCAGTAAAATTAAGGGGGCAGCTCTAAGATTTCAGTTTTTGGATAGCAACCATCGTTTTACTTGCTGGAGAGCTTTAGAGCATCATTACAGACGTCTGCTATCTAACCGTATTTAATGGGAATCATATACCTGAATCATTACGAATATTTTTGTACCTTTCTTGTCCATAATATATATTGATTTAAGGAGATTCTAACCTCTGTAGACCTGAAAAGATTTTGAAATTAATCTTTAACGCTTCAAAATGCCTCAAATCACTGGTCCAGTTCTGAGTAGCTCTAAGCTCAAAGCAAGTGGACAAGGTCTTCGTTCCACGTGTTCAAGCGCTTCAAGTTCAATCAGGATAGCAGATCAAACAATCAAAGCTTTRAATGAAGAACCCCTGGACGAAAAAGATGAAACCATGTCAGTMTCATCATCGCATTGGGACACTGACTTAGAAGAYGATGACTCCACATTGACTGARCAAAAAACTCACAAAGAAATCTATGAACGAACTTGCGAAAACTTAGGCATCATTCCAGTGTCCAGGTTTAGTAAAGAGATTGGCCAGGAAGAAGTTAAAATAAGTCATAGGCACTTACATGATCTAGGAGCCAAGGCTATTGCTGTGGTAATAGCAAACTGCAGCTCTACAACAAAGGTTGACGTTCCCTCTAACGAATTCAGTCCGAAAGGAGGAGTCTACTTGGGAAAAAGCCTTAGAAAAAACAGCACCCTCAAAGAGCTGAACCTTGCAAACAACAATATCAACAAAGAAGGCATTGAAGCTATTTCCGATGCTATAAGTGAGAATAATGTAATTTCAAGACTGGATCTCTCGGGTAATGGACTGATGGATAAAGACGCGCGGATCCTTGCTGATGCGATCGAGAATAATGGATCTCTGAGATATTTGAACTTGAGTTATAACAAGTTTGGTGAGCTTTCAGGGCAGTACTTTGGGTCTGCATTAAGCTACAATAATGGGATCTTAGAATTAAACCTTAGCTGGAACAACATACGAAGACGCGGYGCTCAAGGGATACACAAGGGTATGCGCTACAACGATGCACTGCAAAAATTGGATCTGTCWTGGAATGGATTCGATGAYTACGGGACGGAGGAGCTTAAGGAAGCGCTTCAACGGAACACTAGTTTATTGGAGTTGAATATTAGTAATAATCGGCTCTCAGATGTGGGATTAACAAATATAGCGCAAGGTAAAGAAGAGAGACGGATGTAAGAATCATCGTTTAGCAGGCAYAAATTACTCATATGCCGTACTCTATATTACTCTTGTCTATAAGTTATGCATACTAATCTAGTCTTTTTCTCTGCAGGTCTTGATGGTAATATAACACTAGAAGTCCTCGACTTGAGCCGCAATTCAGGAATGCGGTATTCTCAGGGCGTGGTCCTTATGCTTGAAAACATCKCAAAGAAAAAATGYAATCTRAAAACGCTTAAAATCATTGACATTAACCTTGATTACGCGTGCGCGGAAACAATAAAAAAGTGCCTCACGGACAACGAGGATTTGAGCATCGAGTTTGGATGTAAAAAGAAGGATACTTTTGCAACAAAGAAAATCGAGATCACCCCCATAGATCTTCTAAAGGAGTACATTGTCAAAGAAAAGACGCATCTATCTGAGCTGTTTAGAAAACTAGACATAAATGGTCAGTTTAAAGATAGTCTTACTAGAGAGGARTTCATTGATGGCATGAAGAGACTGAGAGTCATGAATGAGTACCATATAGAACAACTCRTGGATCTCCTGGACTCGGATGGCGATGGTGAAATAGACTACAGCGAATTTACCAATCTGTAGAACTAAGATGTTCGGGTAGAAAAACCCTTGAAACACTGKAAATATTAAAAGCCAGGCTCAGTGAGCACACTATTGAATGATTAAGAATGTTGGTATCTATTTCACGGATTGTCAGTGAAGTCTTTTTAACAGTCCGTTAAACAAAACTTTAAARTTAATATGCAATGGTCTCATAACATAAAATAAAAGAAGGGGATTAAGGTGTATTATTGTGATATCTATTTCGCGGGATTAGGCCTTGTGAACGTGTTATATCTTTTGAGATTTGTAAACAGCTCTGAGAATGACGTTCAAATGGATTTAAAAAATAACCAGATTTATAAAAAGTACATCAAAATCTTTGATATATTTTTGCATTAAATGGTTATCAAATTCAATATATCCAATTAGATAATATTATCCAGATGATCTTTTATATATCTATAATTTCTATTGGCTGCTATATAAAGGCCTATAAATAGTACTATTATGTTCTACTTTTTCCTGCTAACGTTTTCTCCGGTGAATTTTCACCGCACGGTGCAGGGAGGGGTGCGAACGGATGTACACGATTTGTAGYCTTGCGGAGTTGTGGGTTTTTCAGTTCATGTACACGGTCACTGYCATCGCAGTAATGTGCAACTCTCTTGTTAACTTTCTCAGGAGCATACATCCTAATCCTATTATTCAAATGAATAATAGCTTTTATTGCTTGCAGTACTTGGGATTCYCCATGACTATGCTTGACAAATTTGTTTTCGAAGAATTTTTCCTCCCATCTCAACTTTAAAAGGTCCATCAATTCTTTTGGCAACCAATTGATGTTGTTGTTGTTTCGGAGCTCAACCCAACAGAGCAAAGGAAGTTTGTATTCGTTTTCAAGTGTTTCACGAAGGACTTTGACAAACTTGACTGTAAGGTTATTTCCTTTAAGTCCTAAGAAAAAAAATCCAGAAGATATATAATTACGTGCAAAAAAGACCAAATAAATTAATTAAATCATTCAAATGACCACCTTAAAGGTAGTGTAAAATAGCAGAAATAGAGAAAATCCGAGTTTGCATCGTTGCATCGTAGAGATGTGTAACCTTGTACTAACTACATGATGGTGTACCGTATAGGGTACAGTATCATAGTCTACCTAGTGCGATAGTGTACCGAGTGCGGTACAGTATCATAGTCTACCTAGTGCGATAGTGTACCGAGTGCGGTACAGTATCATAGTCTACCTAGTGCGATAGTGTACCGAGTGCGAGTACAGAAAATATTTGGCTCGAGGTTATGCCGTACAAATGACCGAGAGCCAAATATTTTCCCGTACGGACCGACCTAACTCAGTCAATAAGCATTTTATCATATTACAGCGTTTTTTAATGTAAATAAATAAATAAAAGCGCGCGGAACTTCAAGCCGGGAAAATACGGGTTTGTACGAACCTGTCGCGAAAAGGCGTACAGACCCCATCACGTGACCATTTTCCAAATTTTTCAGTGAGAGCGCGCGTAGGGCCGAAATACGGGTCATATGATAAGATAAGTTATTTAATGGATGAACGTAAATAAATGAAATGTTTTTCTACACAATGGTGACCACGAGCGTCGCATGGATTTACGTAGTCCAACGTTAGCATTCCCATTCAAAGTTATATAACATTTTTTAAAGAGTAAAGTTTTGAAATCGCTTACCTAGGTAGTATATGTTACAACTGTTGTAACCGGCCAGGTTGAGAATCAAATCGATTCCAAGTTCGTCTGTCAGACCCACGAATGCCAAGCAAAGTATTTGCAAAGTGATATGATTCCTAGAAATTACTGATTTCAACAGGTTAAACGCTTGTTCCTCGTTGATATCTCGACAAAGAACTTTAAGTACTTTTATATCTTTTCGTTGTAGCGCCCTTGATATGTATTTTTGCGCTGACATTTTTGACGGAGGTTCTTTAYTGTAACTGTTAAAGTGAGAATGTAGTTTCTTGCATATCATCAGAGTATTCCGCGGGTTTATTTCCTGRTCAAGAGCCATCAACTCTTGGAGTCTGGAATGTGAGTATAGCAAAATGATTAGGAAGCAAGGGCGGACGAGAATATATTTGTATTTATCACTATATAGTTTCGKACCGCACAAAAATTGTACGGCACTCGTCAGCTATAGTTATTGAACTATTGAGCACTCTGAAAGCAATTAGTAACTTTACATAAATTACATTATATTTATATATAATAATATATTACTTATTTTCGTGAGAAGTTTTCGAATTTGACGCCGTTGATTTTTCAGTTTCCAATAAAGTTCTAGTTAAGTTTAGACGTTGCCCTCCCGTCTTTAAGTACATAAAATTAGATTCCCCCCCCTGAATTCTCAATCCCCCTCCTGATAAATAAACACAGTCCCTTAGTTATTTATTTGAGTTGTAGACGTGTAGAATAGTTTGTTGGTCGGATCCTATTCCAATACTAACCGACGTAAAAGATCGTGCGCTTTTCTATCTACCAAGAAGTGATCTTGCTGTAAGATATCCACTAGTCCTAGATTAGACAAGCGTTTTGTCTCTTGATTGACATCTAGGTCTTTACATAGCTATTGAGAACAATAAAAAGCACAGCATCAATAGAAATGCTATGAAAACCYCTATAATACGACCACTTTAATCCGTTCGTTCGGTTTCTGTTAGCAATAACTCTCATTATTGTTCTTTTTATTGATTGTTACCTTTTCAGCTTCAAAACCGGTACCGTTACGAAACCGTTTCACACCTTGAAACACAGCAACGATGTTGCGCCAGCAATTTTGGACGTTTTTTGTATCATTTGTCACTTGTTTAAATCTTACGGACGACCGTAGTTAGAATGAACCGGAATACCTACATCTTACACTAACCTTTGCAACAATGGTTGTGGCTCGTTCATAGTCATCCTTTCGCAAGAAAAACTCAATCTTTTCTAAATATTCTAACTTTTCTTGATAAGGATATGTTATTTCTCCAACAGCATTTTTACGTGAGCAAAGCTGTCCCATATTTTTTTACTCGTTTTCTTTGAACGATACAATGATGATTAAGAAAATCCAGGAATATAGAAATAGTAAAACAAAGTCGTTCACGACGCAACTAATTCATGAAATTACCATTATAACGTCACTGTACTTATGACGTAGTGCGCGCATGTACTGAAATCGATTGCGAAGTTACCTCGTTTCAGATCCCACAATCCATTAGCTTCGTTCGCGCGCCGCGAGACATGGGTACTATACTGGAGCTGTTAAGCACTTCATGACGTCATAAACAAAGCAAGCTATGACGTGATCCATATCATCATATCATTATATGATGTCACAGTTGGTTTGACGTCATGCATTATAATAGTGATTCTAATTAGACGAGGTGTTGAGAGGTTGCTTTTAAACTCTTTATTGTAGAATTAGGYACATTTCCCTTGACAAWTTCGAAATTTATTTGCTCAAACTTTCGCACTAAGCGGCCATCTTTYGGATCTTTAGTATGACAAACGTTAAAATGACGAGAAAAGGGTGGTCTTCGAAACAAAGATAAAAACGCGCAAAATGCAAACCAAAGCGCGGATATTAATAATAAGAAGAATTAATATTTCGATCACAGTAATCTACCWTTGTCTCTGTTAAACAAAGCGTTCTTTTTCTTAGCCATGTGACGTGCCTCCTACCACTTCCCATATGATACCATTTACACTACTTTCCTGGTGTTTTCCTTATTTTTCTTCGTTTTGTTTCCAATCAATAGACCTTATTCACGATTGAAAAGAAAAAATATTGTATGAAACTCCAAAGCGGAAGTTCAAAAAGAACAATGAACTTAGAATTTAAATTTCTTTGGAGGTGATATAGTAACCATGACAACACCTGTCTTATCCAATAAAAATTTAATTCACAAAATTTACAAGTTCACTGCCAACGAAGCTTTGATTTATAGCTCCTTCGTAAAGMTAAACTCAATTTTAAAAGAAATCCGTATGTTTTATGTACTAGAAAAATAGAAAACCAAATCAGACAACCAGTCGTTGTCTTTTAACCAAAAKGAAAATAAATGAGGTTGAAATTACAGGTGTAGCCACCTGTTTAAATATGATTATATTAACCAAAACATTCAACGTTTGGGGGTATAGCTCAGTGGTAGAGCATTCGACTGCAGATCGAGAGGTCACCGGTTCAATCCCGGTTGCCCCCTTACTTTCATTTTCTTTTACATTTCATTACTCCACTTGTTTAATGAAGTGGGAAAATTATGTTTTTGGGAAATTGGTGGTTAAAAATACCCAATTTCTTCTCAATTATTAGTAACTTTCCGCCCACTGGAGTTTATATTTCTTTGCTCCACTTTTAAATGAAATGAAAAGCTGTGCTTTTTTTTTGTAGTGAGCTATATATTTTTTTAAAGATTGAGTAGGTATTTTCATTCAACAAAGGGCGCACAATAAATTGCGTTTCTCATCCAATCTAAAGTGCGCGTCATAAACAAGTCAGCGAGATTAGAGAAGGATGTGATAAAAAAACAAATTCGTTTTATCCAATCAAAGCACACGGTTAAAAATATACTTATCATAAAATAACTAGAGTATAAGCGGAATTTTGTCTTTTTGGACTTTTCAACGGTTAGTTTGCTCAAAGTAAAATAGCTCCATTGGTTCGTGCTACTAAGTGAGACCGTGCTTTYCCCGTGGTTTTATACTCTTGATGATTGCTATCTGATGGGCTCTCGCGAGTTTTGTTATCATTTTCTTGGAATGGTAAGAAATTGTTTGAAATAGAGTCCTCTGATCTCGATTTCCTTCGAGACGAATTATCTTCAAAGTTTTCCGCTTCTTCTGAGTCAAAGTTGTTCTTTTCATAGTGTTCTTTCTCGATTGGTCCATTCAGTGTGACGTCATCATTTGTTGACCAATCATCATACCCCTCGATTATTATTCTTGTCATCTTTATGGTTTTTATATTCCTCAAGTGTTACGTCACTGKCTTCTGACCAATCATTTTCGTATTCTTGATGACTAGAAGACGCATCTTGTACGTCACTTGTGTCGTCACTATCTTCTGACCAATCATCGCTACGCTCTTCAAACTCTTCATTTACATCGYCTCGATTTGTCTGAGATGATTCACTAGTGACGTCGCTTGTGTGTTCTGACAAATCATCTTCGTTATCACCGCACTGCTCATTGACGTCATCACGATTTCTAGATGTGATAGACGAGCGACTCGAGCTTGCGCTTGACTTGAAATGTGCAGACGCTGACCTATTTTCATCTATCTGTATAGTTTCAATGCCAATCTGTGTTTCAATATCATTATTTGGCCTTTTGGTGTTGTTTGATGCCGGCTGTACTTTTATCCATGACATATCTTGGGTGATGGCTAAGGCAACGTCGCCAAGACTTTTTAAACTGGATGGTCTTATTTTCTCTCGCCTTATGGGGWAGTTCACTTCTTCTTCCTCATTCTCCTCAAAAGTCGTCTCTAAAAACACATTTTTCAGTGAAAGCCAATTATTTACCATTCCAGTATAACTGAACTAGCCAATCTTTTATTATTATACTATATTAWGATTTATTATGATTTCCAAGGATAAAGATGTTCAATTTATCAAAGCTCATTGCTTATGGAGTAGTTAGGAAATAACGTACCTTTGATCGAGCCGGACGAGTAAGTCGACACAGTGTTCCTACGTCGTATCGTTCGCCTCTCGCTGAAGCGAAGCTTTCTCGTTTTGGAAGCATTTTCGTTATCTAAAGCTTCTTTTGGAATCTACAAACAGACAGCGGAAAATCAAAAGGAATGCTTTACACGGAGCAACAAGAATGCGCAAACCTCGCTTTATTCATTCCGCGTACCKTAGTTCATAATAATGACGGGTTTAGTGCCTCCCCCCTTCCCTGGAGTTGCCTCCAACGGAAGAAACACTGGCCCCTCAAAGTTTGAATCTTACCGGTACAGGCTTATGTAAGTTGACAAAGTATTGCAAATCTGATGTAGAGTGAATCGTGACTTTTCCAATGTGTTCAGGCAACTTTGTTGGGTCRCTAAGCCGWAGTTTTAAATGAAAATCCACAAAGGYTGTCTTTCCTGTGAACATCACAGTTCTTTCCTCTGAGTGGTCAGTGGCATCTCTATCAGGCTCAAAACGTCCGCGAACAAGACAGCGGACTTTACCTAAGGGTACTCTGAGGGACTGGGAGCAAACCTCGTAAWGAAAGCAAGTATCTGGATTCTTAGGTTGTGACGAGTCTAAGAGGCAAATCCGCAAAACAAATTGTTTKCCAGGCTCAGCTATTTCTGTAATGAAACCTTTTAGTACTAGCGTGACCATGACATCAGGTGAGGTATCGTGACACAATTCACGAGAGATGCGTGACGACACCTGCTCAATAAAGCGCATGTGCTTGTTGGGGAAACGTCTGACCACTTTGAATAGGCCGCCGCTGGTGACCAGGAACGTTGCGACTTTCTTGTTGTCAGAGTTTATTTCAACCTGGAAAATGAAAAGAAATGAAATGTTGTGCTGTGCTGCGCTGTGCTGTGCTTTGCTGTGCTGTGCTGTGCATGCTAGCTTTTCTTTCTACGAGTAGACAGCGCTCTGATAGTGTGTAGTTACGTGCAATGAAGRGAAAACTTTTACGGCTTACGGTATCTTGCGTAATGAAACACAACACAAATGCTTTGCGCTAGCTTTTTTTCGTTGGAATACATTGAGCCGTTGCGTTTGATCTGCTGCGTTACGATGGAGATACGCAAGATAACGTAAGGCTATGTTGACGTACCTCAGGAGTACTATAATGGTGATGCCAGAGGATGGCGTCCTCTTCCAGCTCTCTGCTCTTCATAACCACAAGACGACTACTTTCTTTATCAAAAAAACCCTCAAACTCATCTCCTAATAAGGGCAAGGACAACCTGACAGGTTTACAAAACCTCGTTCTGATTGGTCGAATAAGAATGACAGGACTTCCGGTTACGTCCATCATTTCGTCGTTCGTTTCGTTTCGGTATTCAATCGGAAATCTTCGCCTGGGGTTAAGCGACATCGGGCTTGCCGAAGGTGAACTGTACAAATCCTCYAAGCGGACGACTTTCAGGGTGATTTTGGTATCAGTTTCGACCGTATTCTGACCATAGGATAACCTAATTCCCGAGATTTCATGAAGGTTGAAAGCTAAACCCCTCTCGGGGCAGATCTTTGCTGTTAATTCAGGACACTGTGTCAGTACTAAGGTATAAAATCCCGTAAATTTACAAATCACCTTAGCTTCCGTCCTTTGGTTGTTCACAATAAGTAGATTAGAGCTCAGTCTCCCCCATTTCAAAAACCGAGTGTCATTCTTCATTCCATAGGAATTCCCGAACATGCAGATTACTTGGCCAGCKGATTTCTTATGAACGCAGYTTGGTAACCGTAAGGTCATCTCTGCGGGGGGTGAAAATTCAAATTCTTTGGGAAAGACCTGGATGACGTCAAAGACCCGATGATCGTTACCTTCAAGGGATGGTTCATACAGYGGTTTGTTATTAATGCGAATTTTAATGTTTGGGTTGATTTCGCCCAATGATTCACGAGGAACTTTGAACTTAATGCCAAGGAAATCATGATTAAGGTTGAGATCACCACTTGAAAAGCCTTTATCTGTTATCCATGTTGATGTAGTAGTACTGAAAAATAAACATGTTTCATCAAATAATGTAAGATGAAAAAAGTGAAATAGAAATTAATAAATTATTATTACTCTTAATATTATTATTAATACTTTGACTTTGAGGAAAGAATTTAACAGATTAAATTATTTTTTCCATTTATTCATTTATTTTTTCCATTATTTCTTCATTAATTCATTTTTTCAAAGTAYATGACGTCGACATGACGTCGGGCATGCATTTGCATGAAATTTTTCATTAAGAACATGAACACGTACAGACTTTGGGATTTTCAATGTTTTTCGAGTAGAATCCATCAAGAACTCTGCAGTTTCTACTCCATGCAATCAATAGAAGTAAGTATACTCAATGAAGAAGTTATTGCTTTGAAAGCTTTGTCTYAATCAACTCAAGGTGGCCGGAATTCAATCATGAAACYYKGAATTTTCTCGAGCAACGTTAGCCTTCTTTATCATTTCAGCAATGAAACAAAATTGTTCTAAGTGTTTTTCCTAGAATTATATCGTTTCTTTTGTCGTTCATGTTGTTTAAGTTGTTGTTTTTTACTACTCAAGCTTTTACATGAAACTATACGGAAATATCGGAAATAAGAAATGCTATTTTGAGTTTGTCAGGATTTGTTCTTCATGCATTTTGTTCATAATTTCATTGTATTATCTGAACATTTGAATACCTACCGAAACTTTGAGCATTACACTTTCAAACTGTTAGCTTTTATATTGTGTAAAGTCATGTTATCGGTGATTAAACTTTGTGGGAAACCTTGAATCAAGCGCTGTGACAAAGAGTGACAAAGCTTCCATTCAATCGCGCGCGCACGTTTTAAAAAATATCTAATTATGCAAATAAGTACTTGTCTCTGCGCTCTGATTGGCTYGGTCGTAATTATGTCAAAAATTCGTATTTTTTGTCACTTTTATGATATTATACAATTATTTTTTATATTTTTTAATCGTTATTATTATTATCTATCTAATGTTGATGTTCGTGCTTGCGTTATAGGTAGCTGGCGAAATGACACCATTTTGTAGAATATCAAAAATGCAAAAGAAACTAATCCAAGTTGTTAAACAAGTTTTGAAAGGTAAAGTTTTCCATAGATAAGTATGATTGAAAGAATACTACAGTTGGAAAATATATTTTCACATTCATAAAGTTTTCTAGTTTAATACGCGTCTGCAACGAATTTAGCTTGCGACTCTTCAATTTTAAAACGGGTCAACTGTTTATCTCAAACGTCTGTGTCGATTATTAATCCAGTTTGCATGAATTCTTTCTGSGTTTTCATTGTTCTTTTTAATATTTGAGCAGTCGCTACAATTACTCAGGAAACGCATGTTTAGATAGCCTTCTTTGTGCKAGAGCTCAAAAGTCAGGAAAAGCCTTAAAAGTAGAGTCTAATTGGTACATTGGACCCTTATATTTTTGAGTCATCGTTGACCCGAAGACTAGCTCTTTTTGTCTTCTTTGCTACCAGAAATGTTTGGTCTGTGTAAACTTTTCATATCATTGCTAATTGAAAACCGTTTAAATGTAACCAGTAGCTCATCATCAGCATTATCTGTGCCATATTTTTAGTTTCCATAAACTGATTCTTGCTTAGAAGGAAATACTTTAGTAGTTGATTTCGTTGCTATGCGCGCTCCATGAAGGATTGCCGTCTTTGAGAACAAAATGATGAACTTCCGAAGTGATTTACTTCTAAAGCAAATAAATTCTCGAGTAATCATGGTAACAGTCTTGGTAAATTAGTCGTCATTAACGATGATTACATAAACGAAACTTTGACTTCTTCAAAGAGTTTAAATAAGAAAGTTTTTTCTCGGACTTACATGTAACCGATGGTTATTCATGGCGGTAATGACTTCTGTTATTTCAATAACCGATCATAACAAGTCAGTCGAAGTGAAATTTACACTTTAAGGGCATTAAAGTGCTTTTGTCACCATCACAACAATAAACACTTCTTCAAATAAACCATAAACTTACTTGAACTTAGGCTTTCTGGAGCAGTCGTCCTCGTTATCCATAATAACATTTCTTAGATACTGCCAACGCGATTTACTATGTGTCTTTTGACGCCGCTTTTTATCCATAACAACCACAATAATATCCTTATTTGCAAACAAGTTCTCACTTCAGATTTTTAATTGAAAGTAATTAAACAAACTCGTTATTCATTAGAAAACAATAGGGATTCATATGGAATAACTTTTTAGAGTTTTTATCCCCTGGGAATGGGTTTAAATCCGTGATGGATTACGTTCCTTTTTATTAATTTGTTTGACTCTAATGGAGGTCTTTGGTTTATAAAACTATAAGTGTATGGTTTTCTTTGTGAAAAAAAAAACATGGTCTATTTGAATAGGGATTAGAACTCTATTTTTGTGACGAAAGTCCTTATGTTGAGTGACCGAACCGTAACCATCTTGTAGCAGGCTTTCCTTGCGAGTCCTTGATATGTTTTTAAACTTGAAAGTTAAAAAAAATACGCTAGAGAAAAACAAACGAAGTAATAACAACAGCAAAGAAAAGAAAAAAAGAAGAAAAAAAGAAATAAACGAAAAAGAAACAATAAACAGGCGAAAAAAAAGAGAAATTCCTGAAGCGGGGCTCGAACTCAGAACTTTAACTTCAAGGGAAGATGTACCCCCCCTGAATATATAATAAATAATGGAAAAAAAAACTAAAAAGATGGGACGATTCCCCCGAGACATTCTATGAAGCTGAGGCGGCGAATCGGCTTACGTTACGGTTAGAGATTTCGGCCCTTCCACGCTATCCCGAGTGAACATAAAACTTAGTCTTAACCAAAAGGCCAGGGAGTGAGGGGGTAGCCGCCCACTAGAGCATACCTTTAGCTAACCTCTTAGACCATCGTACTATGAAGACACTTATAGATATCTAATACCTAATCGGGATAGTCTATTCGGCGAAGTTCTATGCTAATATATGACGTCACCATAATCCTTAGGGAGCAGCGAGCCAATCAATGCGCAGCTTAAAAATTATCATTTGTAGTACTTGCACGACGTTCCAGTAGCGAGAGGGAGAGGGCGAGAGATGAGAAAGGAGAGTGGGTGGGGTGGGTGTGGAATTGCAATGGAGTTCGGTTGCCGGNCCATTTTGTAACCCATTAAACTCGAAGTAAAATGAATCTTTTGGCCTGAGTCACATGCAGTCTTCGACTGCCTATTTATATTGATATATCATACCGAAATTTTATAATTGAACAAATGAGAGATATAAAAATCGGTACGCTAGAAAAAGAATTTATCACAAGTGAAAATCATGCCTTGTGTGTTGGGGAGGGCCGGGCGGCCATGTTGGAGGACTAAACTATAGATACTAATGAGAGATGCTTAGTTGAAGTTCATCCAAGATGGCCGCTGTGACGTATAGTATACTGAATCGAAGAATACGAAATTTATCAATGGAAAAAGTGATTGCACGAGTTCAATAGCATTCCCATGAGCTGCAAGGGTTATATAAAGAAATTGCGCAAGGAACGTTCACCTCACTCCAAAGTTACAATGTGATCTTATAATGCATTAGAGATGTAATGAGACCAAGTACAATGCATTTCGGTCTTGAATCAAAATATTTCCAGTACTCTAAGATAGTTTACGAATCCGTAGTGAAATCCGTATGTTACGCGTTTTCTTTAAAACTAAAGACAGTACTGACAGTAATCGTTTCGTCTTCATTTAATTGGCTGCTTATATAAATATATTAATTACCTTAAACTGTGAGCCCTGCAAAATACCCAGAGTTCAATTCGGTCGTTCATTGTTATTTCTTTCCGACAACATTACTCGAAACTCATAACAGAGACAAGAGGCAAACGATTATGTSTATAGCAGCCATATTGTATGACAGGGATTACTTAGTTTAACAACGGAAGAAATTGTWAAATTAAGGAAACAATTTCTTGTCGTTTATTGCCATCAAAGAAACGACTTCCCGTTCATGATATATTAGGAATCCTTTTTAATTTGGCCTTCGTACGAATTCGTCGGTCACGTTTTCCTCAAGTGTTTTAAGGACCAAACGTTTGTGCTCAAAAAGACATTTCTAGGGACGCTAAACTATTAATGTCAAGAATGTCAAGATTTGGAAGGGGACTTAAAAGTAAAGTTGAGTTTTTTYTTATTTGTAAGTGTAAATCATATAGCTCTTACTGCGAAAACTGTCAGCTTTCAATTTTTAATCGAAAATTAATTCAAGAGGAGCTTTAGATGCTCACTTCCTATGGCTTTGATTTTAGTTGTTCCTAATGTTCAATTTTCGTTCACTATCTAGAAAAGATTGTTCAMTTTATAAAAGAAAACTTTAGTTGAGCAGGGAGCAATAAACAATATACTTGATTTATCAATGAAATATCTCCGAACTRAGAGTCAACAAAACACGACTTGACTTTCGAGTGTTTTTCCAAAATCACAAAGTTTTTTTTCACCGATAAGATTTGGGAATAAATTGTCTCTTATTTTATGACGTAGATCATTTCCTGACCCATGTGAAAACCTTGTTTTTCTGTCCAAATACAATGCGCTTTTCGTTCGATCTCGACCAATCAGGGCGCGCGTTTAAGTCATCCACACGTACAAGAAGTCACGTTTTCAATTTTTTTTTGCTCAAAAACAAATTCTATCCCCAAGCTTTAAAACATGTAGTATGGGAAGAGTGATTTAACATTTTGAGCTGGAAGAGATACCTGGAAATCCACWAAAACATGCTTTTTGAAAATGACTTGAATGAAATTTGCGTTRGCACTGTTACTAAGTGCAAACGAGCTGTGATTGTTTCTGTTATTTGAATGTTTACATTYTGAACACGATCCTCGAKYAACCGTCTTTCTGGTGCCGACAAAATCCCAATTAAAACTCTCAATTTTCTTTAAAAAAATACATCAAGACATATTTTGCTTTAATTGTGGATTGGGTGGTTAATAATAATAATAATATTTAWWWTKYRYAT